AGCGCCCCACTCTTAAGGAATACAGAACGGCGACGCTAGCAACTTTGTTACTTAGGTTGGAATAAATTGAGACCCCCCCTAAATGAAAAAAAAATCACTGGTACGGACCAGTTTTTCTTGCCTCGGTTGTGAGTGGACCGGTGAGGTAGTGGTGGCCATCCTCGGTAGGTGTACGTTGCTAGCGGTATTTGAACAGCTGGCCTCAAAGGTCCAGTGTGCGAGTGCCCACGTTGTGTTGTCTTCTCGTGCAACCGCATCTCGGTTTTTGTGGTGTGGCGTCTCAGGTCCGTGGTCCTCCGTGTATCTCTTGCCTTGATGGCTGCGTGGGGTCCTTGAGTAGGAGAGTCTGTTGTGGGGCTGTACCTGACGTGGGCAGGTCTTCCCTTGCCTTGGTTCTTTTGTGTGTGTAGTGGAACCCCTGTCCCCCGGTGGCGTTTTCTGTTTGTTCTTGTTTTGGTGGTCTAAAAGGGAGAGAGCGTGCGAATAGGCTGGCCAGGCGAAGTGGGGGCAGGTAGTGTTGTAAACGGCGAATTGGACCAGACATAAGGGACTGACAAGTAGGGAAACAGTAAACTGTTACATTGGTAGAGTATTAACTCTGTGACCAAAGAAGGTATAAAAAAAGAACTAAAACAGAACAGCCATAGCAACTTACTTCAGCAGAGATCAAGAGATGAACTCGTACCACGACAACTACCTTAACAGTATCGCCTCAGGTGTCGACAGGATTGGACGAACTAGCGTAGAACACCTCAGTTTTACAACACTCCCACGCGGACAATCCGTCGACAACTAACCCTACTCATAGCCAGCAGTCCAAACAGATCCGTTTACCCAGCAACGCAATCAAATGCAAAGCACGGGTACTCCCACGTTCACTAAAGCCACATAGAGCAACCCAACAGTGTGCTAAGCAAGGTGACGCACTCCCACGGGCGTTTAAACTCCGCACGCGCGCACTCATACTCGGTTTGACAAATCACGCATGGTTCCCATGAAACAACAAGGCGCATTTCACATCGCGTCGCATACCGCGCATTACTGTGCAGTGCCGTACGGCTTCACAACGCACAGCAGGACCAGGACGTTTCCTAGTCGCTCAAATCAGACAACATTCGACATTACGGGTCGAGTTTGCACGAGATACAGCAGTCGGTTGCAAGCCGACACAAAACTGTGGGGGACACATATCCCGCACCAAGCAAGCAAGCCAGGCGAGTCCACCCAAGCTGCACAAGCACAGACGCCAGGCGAGTCCGCCTAAGCACGAGCACAAATGCCAGGCGAATCCGCCTAAGCACAATCATAAACGCCAAGCGAATCCGCCTAAGCACATTCATAAACGCCAAGCGAATCCGCCTAAGCACAAGCATAAACGCCAGGTGAATCCACCTAAGCACAAGCATAAACGCCAGGCGAATCCGCCTAAGCACAATCATAAAAGCCCGGTGAATCCACCTAAGCACAAGACATAACATGTTCCTGAACAGGTCTGAGCATGCATCAAACCCCAGACTTCCCGCAGTCAGCTCAGAACAGGGGCACCTCACGCACAAGTGCAACCGGCTTCTCCTTCTCGTCGTGCTTCTTTTTCAGGCAGAACTTGGCGATGTGGCCCTTCTTGCCGCAGTACTCGCACTCGTTTAGCTGCCAGCAGTCGGACATATCATGCCCTACCTTCCCGCAGTGCACGCACGTCAGCTGCAACTTGCCCTTGCCCTTCTTCCCGCCGGCGAACAACGTTACGGGCGGCACCTCGCCCGCCGACCGGCTCTCAAGCCTCTTCTCCTTCTGCCCAAGCTTTGCCTCAAACTCAATGATCGAGATAGTTGACATCCTTTCGGTCAGCGCATCAAGAACCCCCTCGTAGCTCTTCGGCAGGCCCAGGGACAAGTACTCCACTAGGTCCGAGTCCACCACAGTGATTCCCATCGACTTCAACGATGACTGCATCGTCCGACCGCGCGCTACATACTCCTGGATGGACTCATCAACCTTCTTCTTGATGTTAGAAAGATTCCGCTTCACCTCGGCACCATTGGAGGCAGCGTACTTCTTCGCGATCTTCTCAACCTCCTCCCACGCCGACTTGGCATCTTCACAATCGTCCAAGTAGTGGCGTAGGGTTTTGGAGATCGACTTACGAATGACGGCAAGGGCTTGGTTCTTGGCCACATGATTTGCATCAGCCAGAGCTCCCTCGTACTTATGATAGCCCAGCGTATCCTTCACATCACGGCTCCACGAGCTATAATTAGTGCCATCAAACACCTCATCGATCGCGACCAGTGCCTTAGTGCTGTTCATTTTCGCCACAGGATCAGCCGACAGAGGAAAGCGTTTTAATACACTAGCTTCACCTCACAACAATGACTGATGTAACAGGGAGCTCAACCAGCATCATAAGCCGGGGCTCATAACCTGTTGTAAACGGCGAATTGGACCAGACATAAGGGACTGACAAGTAGGGAAACAGTAAACTGTTACATTGGTAGAGTATTAACTCTGTGACCAAAGAAGGTATAAAAAAGAACTAAAACAGAACAGCCATAGCAACTTACTTCAGCAGAGATCAAGAGATGAACTCGTACCACGACAACTACCTTAACAGTATCGCCTCAGGTGTCGACAGGATTGGACGAACTAGCGTAGAACACCTCAGTTTTACAACAGGTAGCCTGTTTAGGGTTCCCGGAGGTGGTGTGGCGCCTCTCATGCAGCTCTCGCTTAGTTCGGTTCGCAGTCTTAGGGTTTTGCAGCAAGCCGTGTTTCATAGAGCTTCTGAACCTGGCCGCCGCCATTAATCCGGTTCATCCATCACCTAGCCTAGCCTCTCAGATTGTGAAGCTGGACCTACGACTGCCTCGTATATTTCCGCATCTCCCCGTCGTCTCCTGTTCCCGTGATGTTGCCTTTCCGGCTTCTTGCCCACGTCCTATCGATCTACCCGCGCAGCGATTTTAGGTTATATCTCCCCCGCACAGCCTGCAGCATCGTGCCGAAAGACATAACAGAGTCGCTTCTTTACCAAGTTACTTAGCGGCTCTGGCAAGTGCCTCCAAACTTTCTTGTTAGATTGTACGGCTGTACGAATGTATGCGGCTGCCATAACATGCAATCCAGGTGCTATAATTTAGTATCATTATATTACTCCAATTTCCTATGCAATTTATTTCTAAGCACAAGGCTTAAAAGCTGCACTATCCTCTGCGTCATCCGTTCTATTAGAGTGCTGCCTTACAGATTGATAGTTTCTGTGGCACTCCTTTGAAATTAAAGGTAGAAGATGCAAAACATCGGAGCAGCCAACGCGGACGATGCCTTCTACAGGTACAAAATGCCAAAATTACAGGCTAAGGTGGGTAACTCGTGTTTGGTTGCATTCCTGAACTCTCTGAACACCCGGGTTGCTTCCGCCAGATTGAGGGACGCGGAAACGGCATTAAGACTAACGTCGTTAACAATGTCGAGATCGCCAAAGCTCTAGAGCGTCCTCCTGAATGTAAGGCCTTTACAGTTTGCTTTCAAGATGCTAGTCATGGAATCTATGCTTTTGACTTTTGTTTCCTGTCCTTCTGACTGTCCTTCTCCTTTGGGGTAGATGTGCTCAAGTATTACGGTTGCGAACTTGGTGCGCAAACTAACTTCGACAAGGCGAGTGGAACCTCTATTGTGAATGGCGCTCACGACATGCGGAAGTTATCTGAGCTCCTGGAGGCTTTTATAAAAAGATACGTTTGCTGTTACAGCTGCAACAATCCGGAGACTCAGATTAAGATAAAGAAGGAGAACATTTACCTGAAATGCAAAGCGTGTGGTTTTGTGTCTGATGTTGATCCACGTCATAAGCTGAATACATTTATCCTGAAGAATCCGCCGGAGAACAAACTGAAGAAGGAAGAGCAAAAGTAAGTTTCTTTACACGGCACTCATAATGACAGATTTGCCCAATTTAGCTTCTATCGTTGCTCTGTAGGCTAAAGAGGGCGGAGGAGGAGCGTGTGAAGGATGCAGAGGCTCTCGGTGAAAAGGAAAAGAGGGAAAGGAAGAAGAAGGACAAGGATAAGAAAGACAAGAAGTGAGTTTGTTGTGAGTCACTGGTCATGTTTGTGGACGTGTACGAGCTGTCCATGATTGCCTCCTTTGTAGAGATAAGAAAAAGAAGGACGGCAATCATGGCGAGGACAAGGAGGCCGGGGACAAGTATTCAGAGGTGGGTATCTTCTATGGTACTAAGTGCAAGAACGCAAAGGAGCTTGTCTCTAGATCTGCCACGATTGGGCTGGGCATAGGTCTGTAATGCGAGAAAGTTGCCTATCTTGAACACGTGCCGCTTAGGACATAGGCTCCTGTCGTGGCTGTCTGGCACTGGCGGGTTAGCAATGCTAAACAATTATCTGCGGTATCGGCTGTGTACCCTGAAACAGTTCCAACCCTTTCGTCTTGTGAGCGGCTGGCTGATTTTGCTTTGTTGACTGTTTTGTGCCAACTTGATGTGTTTTGTTTTGGATTGAGACATGTTTCCTCTACATGTTTTCCTCGATAGGTGGAGGAGGAAGATAGTGGAGACGAAGACGATGGGGTTGTGTGGATGACAGATACAAGTGCCGAGGCAGCCAGCCGCAGAGCACAAGAGCAGCTGACGGCGGCCACTGCTGCTATGGTTACTCTTGGTAACATTGAGGCGGAGCAGGAGGCTGCTATCCGACGGACTGAACGGGAATCTAGGAAAACAGCTGAAGAGGAAGCGCACAAAAAGGTATGTCGTGACCAGCGAGGACTGTACCAGCTTTTCAGGCAATACTTCGCTGCACCGTGAACAGTCTTCCTTTGCATGCCTGCACATCGACATTATTCCTTGTTCAGGATTCTTACTTCATTAACTTTTTCTCAGTTCCTTCTACCACAGGCGGAAGACGCCAAACGTGCGCCAGAAGAGGCAGTTGCACAGGCGTCAGCTGAAGCCCAGGAGACGGTGCTTGCCAATGGCGACCCTGTCGTTCGTCTTCGTGCGTTACTTGTCGACAAGGACGCTTCTACTATCGTCAACGAGATAAGGACAATGCCAGGAGTTGAGGGCGGCATGGCGGGTATGGCTGGATTCTTGGCTGTATTGGAATATGCTGTGCTGTAGTGAACACCTGCTGGTGGACGTGACAGCATGTGCACTGTCGCGACCTTGTTGTGGGCTGGTGTAACCAAAATAATTGCTTTACATTTATTTTGAAGTCTGAAACGATGACCTTGTGCAAGGATTACGTGTTGTCATGCATTATGGCATACCCGTTTTATAACTTGCTTTGCAGGAAAAATGCGGTTACTGTACGAGGCGTCCGTCACTAGTTGCGATGCTAGGATAGACCAGGTCCTGAGGGCGCAGAAGAATTTGTTTGCACAGTTTGCTCAAGATGCACAAGGTCAGCTTGCACAGCTGATTGCTCTGGAGTATGTTCTAGCTGTGGCTGCACCAGGTACGTGTTTAGCTCTTGCCTGCAATTTGAGTATATCTCGTCACGGTAAATATTATTTCCCAACCCCCCATTCCTGCTTGCCATCCAAACTTCTTCGACTTCCATCCTTACCTCCCTCCTAACATTACCTCATGCAATGGTAGCGATGGAAAGCCTGCCCTCCTGCACACATTCTCTTTAAGCACCCGCAGCCAAACACGATTGGTTTTCCAAACTAAGTTGAATCCACCTCCGCCTTCCCTGTGTTGGTAGTGATTTTACTGTTCACAGTGCTTTACTAAACAGCATTAGAAATATTATGACCCTAACAATGTGTTTCTACTTGGCCGCACACTAACATGAAGTCCAAAAACATCTCGCATTTGGCATAGCGATCGCCCAAGCGATAAGAAACCAGTTAAGCACATTAATAAATAGTAAAAGTCCTCTAAAAATCGCATAAAGGGGCTCCGTACACGAAGAGCTGAAGGGCCCAGTGGAAACGTCTCGTACACTAAGTCCGCATAAGTGGCACACTAGTTATCAGGGCCTCAGACCTGCTGATAATTGTTGGGCGGGGCCCCAGCGCGAAGCGCCCAGGGGGGCCCCGACCTGTAGGATTGCCCCTGTCCGTGTGTGTGTGTGCGTGTGTAACGGACCAAACATAATATCTCGCCCGGCTGAAGCGCGTTATAGGTACTATATATCATTCTCTATCGCATGGTATCTCCGCCTGTAGCCAACAAAAATCGTATGAGCACAAACAAGTTTGGCTGCCTCAATTGACCGAGGCCAAAGTCACATCAACGCCTCTCGGGCTAAATTTAATCTCAAAAGGTACCGCACATCTCATATTTGAATTCTTAGATGACTGCGTATGATAACTCGAACTCCCAGGCCTTGAGTGTGTAACGGACCAAACCTAATATTTCACCTGAAACGCGTTATCGGTACTATATAGCATTCTCTATTGCAAGGTATCTCGCATGTAGCTAACAAAGATCGTATGAGCACAAACAACTTTGGTTGCCTCCATTCACCGACCTCAAAAGTCACATCAACGCCTCTCGCGCTAAATTTCATCCCGAAAGCTGCCGCGTATCTCATAATGGAATTCTGAGATGACGGCGTATGATAACTCGAACATCCAGCTTGTGTTACCATTTGCCCGCACGGGCATTCCGACTTGCCACCAGCAGGCCGACAAATTTGCTTTCATTTCTCTATTAAATAGGCAAGCTGCTCATTTGTACATTTACTTTAGCCAATGCTCGGGGCCTCCGAGACTTGCGGTGTGCCCCGATGAAGCTCCCGGCTGTGGGGCGGATTGCCGAGGCCGCTGGCGCTTCGGGGATAAACATCACAGACAGCACCGAAATTCACCCAGCTTTCGTTACCATTTGCCCGCACGGGCATTCCGACTTGCTGTCTGCCGCACTGTCCATGCCGCATGCACCCGGGATGGATGCGATTCGCGTGGAGCCCGCAGGCGGTGCTGACGATTCCGCCGGTGCAAGCTTAGCTCCTACACCATCAGCACTGGTGCAGCAAGCACATCTCCCACCGCGTTGACACTACCCATCAATTGTCACACGTGCCGCGCTAGCTACCGGCCTGTACGGATGCAGGGGGGGCCCGCCCTTTTTCCGGCTTCGAGGAAGCCGACACCCGACTTCTCAAAGTGGACATCACATTCCGAGCGGGAAAATTTATAGTCAGCCATTTTATCCACAGCCGCTTACCAGTGGAATTCCGAGCAGGACCGGTCGAATTGCCCACATTCCCGCAATTAGCCGTCCAAACTGTAATGAATTGCTCATTAAATTACACCCACTCTTACTATAACAATGGTTTGGTGCCTTTATAGCAACCTATCGGATGGCTCCCGGGCGCTCAGGGGAAACACCTGTTCAATAGCCACACACGAAGTCCACGTTAAAGATAGTGTTGGAAAGTTAGTGTGTGGCCAAGTGGAAACATCCTGTGAGATGTGTAAAGGCACAAGGAAAATTAGTACTAACCATCAGAAACGCACTTGTGAAGTATCGTGAACAGGTCATTACCAGCCGACAGGAGAAGCATGACTTCCCTTCAATCAGACATTCTGGGCAGATATGGTGAACATGTTTTTGCCGCACGTTTAAAGTGTGCTTCGTCCCTCGGTATTTGCATTGCAGGACGCATTAAGGAAGCACCATACGCTCTGAAGACGCTTTACGAGTTGGACTTGGTTGAAGAGGACGTAATACTTGCATGGGCTCAGAGGGCAGATGCGGGAAAGTTATTGGCAATTCCTATTGAAGGTGGAAAGGCGGTACGGAAGGCCGTTAAGCCTGTGGTCGACTGGCTCAGGCAGCAGGATGATGACGATGACGAAGGTTGTGATTAAGCGTGTGAGCATTTGCTTACTCCTATGTTAGCCTTCCTGTGGCACCTGTCCATGGCTTGACATCCAGCTGAGTGTTTGCTTGTGCATGTTTAAGTTGCTACGAATTTGGCTGCCATGTGCCGCCCTGCATCCACACGAGCTGATACCAAAGTTGGAAATGTAACCCCAGAATAGGGAATGTAATCAAGAGCGGTTGGTATAATTTGGCGGTCACATACACATCTTGCAAAATCGAATTTTAGTATCTTCAATTCTGCACGAAGGGGAAGGGTCCGTAAAAGTCGGGGTCCTAAATATATGGACCGTTATCTATCAATGGTTGAGCGCCGAGGGAAGACGTCGTCCTTCCCCGCTCGCTTGGGGGTGTCTAGTGCTCCAGACCTCGCCGAGGGGTAGACGATTCACCATAATAACACCACGCCCTAGGAAACGAAGGTCCTCGTCGTTATCCGTAAATCCATGTCGTGTGGCACTCACGATAAAAATCCAGATCGTCCTCAACCCCAACGCTACGCAGGCATGTGCGACGCGTCCATGGCCATTCAATAGCTCGAGGGCTACGGCAAAGTCTGCCAACTCGGCGGGGCCCAAGGGACCTGCAGTAAACCCTGTAACAGGTTAGGGGCCCTATAACGGAGGGGCCCATAACAGGGTGCCCTGTTACGGGGCAATGGGGGCCCCTAACAGGGTCACTTCCCTGTTAAAAAGGGGCCTGCTAACAGCCCTGTAACACAGACTTGGTGCCTATGGGGCTTATACAGGGTTACATGCTCCCATTGGGCGGCGGCAGGCGAGGAACGGCAGGGGATAGAGGCTGTAGGGGCAGAGGCGGCAGGAGAGGACGCGTCAGGGGACGAGGCGTCAGGGGAGAAGCTGACAGGGGATAGTGGCGGCAGGCGAGGAGGGCGAGGCGGCAGAGGATAGAGGCGGCAGGGGATAGAGACGGCAGGGGATAGAGGCGTTGGGGGAGGAGGCGGCAGGCGAGGAGCTATAGGCTTGTAGGGGATGTAGGCTGCCGGGCAGGGAATACAGCCTGCAGGGGATGTGGCGGAAGGGGAGAAGGCGCCGGGGGAGATGCGGGAGGAGGAGGCGGCACGGGATAGAGGCAGAAGCGAAGTAGGCAGCAGGCGAGGAACGGCAGGGGATAGAGGCACGGGGGGAGGAGGCGGCAGGGGAGGAGGGGACAGGGGAGGAGGCGCAAGAGGATAGAGGCAGGCGAGGAGCGGCAGGGGAGGAGGCGGCAGGGGATAGAGGCGGCAGGGGTACGTTAGCGTGGTCTGTACATCGCAGCAGCCCTACGGGTATCCTGGGGGGCTAAATGCCACGGAGTGTGGTCCCAGACAGCGACCCCCGTCACTTCAGGTGATTGAGCCGTAGGCTCCCTTATCCCACCTCTCTCTGCGGGCACATTGAGCCGTAGGCTCCCTTACTTATTTGTACGTTTGTGCGTTCCTTCGCGAGTGCAATGGAAAGCTCGAGCTCTTACGATGACGGTTGACACATCAGGGACATTTTGAGTAATCGTTATGATCTGGAGCATCACAGCAGAACCGTTTTTTTTAAAAAACATGAACAAGCTGTGTCGGCTTCCTCGAAGCCGGAAAAAGGGCGGGCCCCCCTGCATCCGTACAGGCCGGTAGCTAGCGCGGCACGTGTGACAATTGATGGGTAGTGTCAACGCGGTGGGAGATGTGCTCGCTGCACCAGTGCTGATGGTGTGGGAGCTAAGCTTGCACCGGCGGAATCGTCAGCACCGCCTGCGGGCTCCACGCGAAACGCATCCATCCCCCGTGCGGGCAAATGGTAACGCAAGCTGGGTGAAGTTCGGTGCTGTCTGTGATGTTTATCTCCGAAGCACCAGCGGCCTCAGCAATCCGCCCCACAGCCGCGAGCTTCAACGCGGCACACCGCAAGTATCCAGAGGCCCCGAGCATTGGCTAAATTAAATGTACAAACGAGCAGCTTGCGTATTTTTTTCATAGAGAAATGAAAGCAAATTTGTCGGCCTGCTGGTGGCAAGTCGGAATGCCCGTGCAGGCAATGGTAACACAAGTTGAGTGTTCAAGTTATCATACGCTGCCGTCTCAGAATTCCATTATGAGATACGCGGCACCTGATGAGATTAAATTTAGCCCGAGAGGCGTTGATGTGGCTTTGAGCTCGGTCAATTGAGGCAGCCAAAGTTGTTTGTGCTCATACAATCTTTGATGGCTACAGCCGAGATACCTTGCAATAGACAATGCCGTATGTTACCGATAACGCGTTTCAGCCGGGTGACATATTATGTTTGGTCCATTACACACTCAAGGCCTGGGAGTTTGAATTATCATACGCCGTCATCTAAGAATTCAATTATGAGATACCCGGTACCTTTTGAGATAAAATGTAGGCCGAGAGGCTTTGATGCGACTTTGGCCTCGGTCCAATGAGGAAGCCAAAGTTGTTTGTGCTCATTTGTGCTCATACGATTTTTGTTGGCTACAGGCGAGATACCTTGCGATAGAGACTACTATATAGTACCAATTACGCGTTTCAGCCGGGCGAGATATTATGTTTGGTCCGTTACCCACACACGGCCACACGGCCATGGGCAATCCTACACGAAAGGGAACTCAGGGTAGTATCCCTCAATACCGCCCTGAGCAAATTTTTAGCAGAGTCCGGCTTCATGCCGGACAATCATCGTAGAGGTTGTTCGGGCTAATCTGCTCACAGCAGAAAGACGCGCGACGCTGCAGAAGACTAACATCCCCATTGGCCAGCTTCCGATCAAACTGGTTGACCCAGTTGGTCAACGCGCACCCTTTTGACAAAGGGATGGAAGCCTCTACGTCGACGTCGCGGATCCACAGGTTTTTCAGGTTCTCGACTTCGTACGTGATCAGCAGACCAGATTCCCCATCTGGCCTTGTTTAGTTTACTGACTTGAGGACTACGCGAGCGGCTGGAAAAAATATGGAACCTGCCATACTGATAGTGAGCTAGGCGGTTCCGGCCCTCTTGTGGAACCAAGCCCTCCAGTAAATAACCAATGTTTCACAATATCTATTTAGCAAGATGGCTTGCAAGATTCCATTTTGCCGTACTTGTCGTCTTTCAGGGTGTCTCCACGTGGACGTCTATTAACTATCTCCGGAAAAGTTACTGGCGCGCTAACAATGCCTAACAAAGTACTGTCTCCACGAGCAGCCCCGAAACCATATTTTTACCGTCTTTCAGCGCCATTTCGCTCCTGCTTGAGCAAAATTTTTTTGAACATTAAAGAGAAATGAGGACGGCAGTTGTCCTGCAAATTGCCGCTGGGCTGTTGCCCATTCTGAGCGGCCTGGGTAGCAGCATGGACATCGGCAATGCTAAACAGTCGGGGCAGCGGACTCTGCATGGGCTGTTGAATGGTTGCCATTAAGGCATTGTGCAATGAAGTAGGAAAGTTCTGAGACGGAACCGGCGAGGGCGACTGGTTCTGCGACATTTCCGTATTGGTCAACGGCGAAAGTCGGCAAGCAGTCAAGGTAGTAGACGGAAAGCAAAGGAAAGACCGGGTGATATTATAACTTAAAAAGAAGTCACGAGATTTTCCGCGCTCAAAGTTAACAATGCTTAAAGCTGGTCCGGGGCAGCCTATAAATTTTGCGGGCTAATAGGACGTTAACAAGGGCCTTGTCTCCACATGGGCCCCCCGTTCTTCGCCATCCCTCCGCCTTCCGTCAAACCTTTTGCACTTCTATCATTTATTTATATAGAATATGTGATATTGCGAAACAGAACGTGCAAACCTAACGTCCAGGGTGAGAATTTTTAAAAGGGTCACTAACAAACGTCCACGTGGAGACACCCTGTAACAGGTGAACAGGTGCTCTAACTTGCGCTCTTACATGGATTTTGTTATTTCTCTCCTGTAATTGTTTCTGTATTTGCCTCTTGCATATTTATCTTGAAGGTGTCCATAGTTCCGCAATTTGTAGTCTCCGCCGTTAAGTTTAAGCTGCTTAAAGAACATGGCGTGCCTATCCCTAACCTTGTATCATTGCATAGTCCGGGAATGATTTTCCAATTGATGAATATTTGACTATATGAAGTGTATTGAACATATCTTTGTGCCTGCTACGAGTCCACAAAGGGCAGCGCCAGCGGGCGCAGGCATGGGCGTTCCGCTGGACAAGCAGCATCAAAAGGCGGTCAAGACGTAGGTACAGGGTGCGGGGGCCAAAGTACGGGGCATTGCGTCTATTGCGAAAGTGTGCGCTGAACTTTGTCCCAGTTCTGGTGGTGATGACCTGCCTGCTTCCAAGCAGGCTAGGGTTTGAAACACCTTTAGGAGGCGATATAAGGGTTTGGAGGCGATATAAGGGTTTGGAGCCCCACTGTCTCTAGTATTGGATCGAGACGACTCAGTTGGCTTTGTTAAGAAGGGACCCTTTCAGTTTGTTAAAGTGAAGTTGGTCGAGGCCTTCAGATCAATCTAACTGCGAGATGGTACTAGACAGGGCTTGTCTATGGATATCACGGGTTGGGCAATTATGTCGTCTTAGTAAGGGTGTATTCTGAACCCATGTTGTACCACATGCGGGCTATGGACCTTGATAGGTTGTATGTACGGAACAGGTTTAAGAAGGGAAACAGTGGGCCTTTGTCGGCTGGCGTGGGGATTGAAACCAGATATTCGTCTTGGGCTGACTTTTCCAGGACGAAGACTACGCACGAACGCCTTGCGAACACTTGATCTGCTGGCATAAGTGAAAACGTTCTGCATGTTTTCAAGCGATGCTCCTAGTATCATGTCCGGGAGGTTAGGGGGGCCGGGCCTGCCGTGATACCATCCCGTTGCGCATGCAAGAAGTTCCATGCTTTTACATGTTACTTACACCATTCATAAGGACCTGGTTAATGTATTTGTACCCGCACCCTCAACCGGCGGCGGTTTTGGTTACAGCCGCGTCCTGGAGCACGTGGGACCCTATCTCCGGCTTGTGCAGGTATGTTAACATGTTAGAACGAATGCTTATAATCGCACTTCAGTAAAGTGCACATTGGCATTTATGAACATGTCTAGGAGTTTCCTTGGTGCGACGGATCTCTCCTCACTTCCAACTGATCCGTATATTGAACACGACGAGCAACCCTCGCTGTTGCCGCGACCCCAACTTCCCCAGGCGTGCTTATCAGCACCTAGCGTGCGACAAGTCTCACAACTGCAGCCTGTCTTCGCGTGCAGTTTTGATGTAAGTGTACACGGAGAAATGGTTGGGAAGCAGTACAGGGACTTTTGTGTAATATGACGGGGAGGGACATAAAGTTTTGGACATGTTACGCATATTGTAAAAAGCTCGTGCGTGGGGCAGTGGGCTTTGGGAAGAGCGTTTCTAGGTCTGTTGTAACGCCTAAGCTTTTTGAAATTGGTGGCCATGAGGATGTTGATGGTACCGGAGGAGCCCAGGGATGTAGGTCAGGAACGGCCGTGGGGGCAGAGTTCATGGCAGATGCGGTGATGGCGACGCATGACGACGGTTTGTTGCGTAAAAATCTCAAATAGAAACACGTTATAATAAAGTTAATATCTTGTTCACGTTGAGTTGGCGACATTGTGAGGACGTAAGGCAGCATTTCTGGAACTATGCGGTTGGTCAGTTTGGGGGCTTGAAACAGCATGTCATGATCTGCTGATGAAATAAGCTCCATGGGTCCAAATATTTAAACTTGATGGGACCGTGGCTGGTCATGGCGAATGACAGCAATAATTATGGATACTGAATAGGCTAAAACACTTCGCGTTGATGCTGCTTCTAGATCATTTAATGGGGATGGCTAAGATGGGTTTTGGAACATGCGCGTTATTGTCCACCGTTGGCTTATTGATGTACATGAACCCCCCTCGCAGCTGCTGTCGCCTCTGGCCTACCCACAGACGCCCGCAAGCAGCATCGGAACTAAGTTCGTGACATCATCGTTCTTCCGGGTGAGAGCTTCGTCCCGCACTGTGCCTGGATAGACAGTTCCACATCACTGTATTATGCACGGGTCCTATCGTAGCTATGGTGATCTCCCAATAAAGTCCAGACGTTCCAGTGCGCTAGAGGAGGGCACGCAGGCTAATCGCCCCCTTACACAACACGCTGATCCTCGCCCAATATCCTTCCTGCACCCACGTGTCCACTTATGCAGGGGCCCCGGGGTTGCGTTTAATGTTAGTTTGTCTCTTGTATCTGTCTACACGCAGGCACCAATGATAAACATAAGCAACATTTTTCGCAATAAATTAACCTGGGAATTTTGTGGTGGGGAAATTCCCGATTGGTCGCTAAGTGTAAGTAAGCTTACAACACACGGAAGGCAGCCAGATGCTCAATTAACACTACTGGAACAGATAAGCTTAGCACGACCCATGACCCGACGCGACGAGGAGTTCACTTAGTCCTTCCGTCCATATCCCATAAAAAATTACTGGAAACGGCCCCGCTTTAAATTTTGCCTGCCCACTATAATTGATTACCGCAGCACCGGGCTGCTATCAACCATCTTCTTTACACCCCAGACGGGCGGAGGCTGCTGTGCGCGGGCAACAATGGCAATGTTAGCCTTTGGAACGGGACCAATTTTGAGAATGAGCTGGGCCCGGGAATACAGGTACTTTGCCTGAAATGTGGACGGAACCAATCATCCTGCACAAAAGTTAATGCCATATACAACGTGGAGATAGATTACTTGTATAATAGCACTTGTATGTTAGTACTTCTACATAAGTACTTGTAGGTTAGTAGCATCCTAAGCTGTGTGGCAACTTTAGGGGGTGTTTCCTTGGATTAAAGTCACGGATAAAGATATCCTAATCTGCACTGATCCACTGCTAGTCCACAGTGTGTTTCATAGATCTGGATATCATAGATCTGGATATCTGGAACGGATTATATACAGCAATTACCGTCACTTATATTCCGTGCATGAAAGGCAAAAGCGACGAGTATAGTAGGTATAAAACAATTGCAGCGCACGCACCAATAGAACGGAGCCAGTGGCTCCATGCCTCGGAGCAACGCCTGCAGCGGATACATAATTCTGGGCACGAAACGTCAAGCTTCCAGGAAAGGATAAACACCTACGGATAATTTTTCAATCTATCAGTCTCGTTTATGTAGAGGTGCTGTAAAACACGGTAATCTGCGATTCACAATTTGGTCTTGGTCCCGTGCGAGTTGCAAATACTTTTCGCCGAATCAGTGCCATTCATATGTCAAAGACGCATACTAAGTTGCATGATAATCAAAATAAGTCTACGACAATAAGCTTGTACATGGGTGTACAACTGTCACTAATCCCACCATCGTTAACCTTCCTGATTCGTGCGAATCCGCGCGATGTTTCCATATGCAACTGATTAACCCCTTATCCGTGACTTTTAGTCCAAGCGGGCACCCCCTTGGGGGGTGTTCACTGAATGATTTCATCGGACGGAGTAGGGCAGCATTAATCCGGCTTGATCCACGCTAATCCCGCTAGTGTTTTTGGGCGGGGCCCCAGCGCGAAGCGCCCAGGGGGGCCCCGACCTGTACGATTGCCCATGTCCGTGTGTGTGTGTGTGTGTGTGTAACGGACCAAACATAATCTCGCGCCCGTCTGAAACGCGTTATTGGTAATATACTACATTCTCTATTGCATGGTATCCCGCCTGTAGCCAACAAAAATCGTATGAGCACAAACAAGTTTGGCTCCCTACATTGACCGAGGTCAAACTCAAATCAACGCCTCTCGGGCTAAATTTAAAGGTACCGCGTATCTCATATTTGAATTCTTAGATGACGGCGTATGATAACTCGAACTCCCAGACCTTAAGTGTGTAACGGACCAACATAATATTTCACCCGGCTGAAACGCGTTATCGGTACTATATAGCATTCTCTATTGCAAGGTATCTCGCATGTACCTAACAAAGATCGTATGAGCACATACAACTTTGGTTGCCTCCATTGACCGAGCTCATAGTCACATCAACGCCTCTCGGGCTAAATTTCATCTCAAAAAGGTGCCGTGTATCTCATCATTGATTTTCGAGATGACAGCGTATGATAACTTGAACACCCAGCTTGTGTTACAATTTGCCCGCACGGGCATTCCGACTTGCCACCAGCAGGCCGACAAATTTGCTTATATTTCTCTATGAAATACGCAACTGCTCGTTTGTACATTTACTTTAGCCAATGCTCGGGGCCTCCGGAGACATCACGGTGTGCCGCGATGAATCTCGCGGCTGTGGGGCGGATTTCTGAGGCCGCTGGCGCTTCGGGGGGGATAAACATCACAGACAGCATTGAACTTCACTCAGCTTGCGTTACCAATTTGCCCGCACGGGCATTCCGACTTGCGGTCTGCCTCACTGTCCATGCGGCATGCACCCGGGATGGATGCGATTCCGCCGGTGCAAGCTTAGCTCCCACACCATCAGTACTGCTGCAACAAAGCACATCTCCCACCGCAGTGACGCTACCCATCAATTGTCACACGTGCCGCGCTAGCTACCGGCCTGTACGGATGCAGGGGGGGCCCGCCCCTTTCCGGCTTCGAGGAAGCCGACACCCGACTTGTCGAGGAGCTTAGAACAAGGACTATGTACGGCGATGCTGTCTCTTTCCTCTGTCTGTTTAAGGGCTTTCATAAGAATGCTTTCTTATCCATTAGAATGCTTAATAGAAGGGCGATGTCTAGCAGCAACCGTGCACAGCAATCGTTGGCCGCCGCTGCTTGCAATGTCGCGACAATTTCATTGATACACCTTGCCATTGCGGCCCTTCTATTTGTGGCTACAAAAAAGCATTTGATGGCTCGAAATAGCTTTAAAAAAATTCTGCAGCAAATCATGATACTGAAAGAACTGAAATAGTTATGATAAGCAGGATTGCAAGAATCCTCAAATAAGTTGCTTTGCTCGAACACAACACGGTTCTCCATGCCCTCAGGATGGAGGGGACTTTAAGGGGCACTGTGGTCCATTTGCAGCAACCAGCTGTTAAGACGCATGAAGATCAGGTCTTGTTCGTAGCAGAGAGCCTGTGGCAGTACGCCGTGGTAGCACATCCCCCTGCTGATATATGGCGGGACTTGCAAAAGTGCGCCAATGCCCTGACTCTCAAAATGTACCGTAGTGACAGGAAATGTTCGTGATTTTATTGTTCGAGACACCCTCAAAATTACACCCGAAATTATTGGGGAAACTTTTGAATTCGTGAGAAGCCAACGCAACCGAAGCAACGGTGCCTGCAATATTCGTTAATGGGTCCGACTCAGAACGCCGATTGACGCAAACGCTGGCCAATGCATGCACGGTTATTTAGGAGCGGCAAAACCAGCTCTATCCGTAGCTGGGGCGCCGCGAGCAAGTGTGAAGAGTCCGCATTGAGAGGGCTTTGTTGCTTAGGCCGCTTGGCCCTCGGATCCATGTCCGTTCAGTTACTATGGATGTATATTTGGCCAGATAAATGGAATTCGACGAGTAATTACTGTGTTGAAGGCATTATACGATTTGGCTTCGGAGCACACATATATTCGTGACGACCATCGCCTGGAACAGCTTGTAATTTATATGTGACATAATTTCGTGATGCCGTCACGAAATTAAAATCACGAACATTTCCTGTCACTACGGTATCAACTATTGGCGACAAGAGTTCTTCAGTGAACACATCAGTCGCTCATATCGGTACACCAAGAGAGCAAGGATAATCAATCAAGACATCGGAACTGTATGAACAAGTTGCAGCTAATTTTGATCTGGTGCATCAAAGGATAACCAACCAAACAAACTACCAAGGTGTCAAGCCTGCGCATCTCTCAGGGCCTTTTTCAACACGCCCACAGGCTCAGGACGTGCACTTTCATAGCTGCGCGGTGCTTAGCAGACTTCTCTGGTGACAACGGCTTCATAAAGCAACCGGCCGCCATCTCCTCCGACATGCAGTCTACCATCACCAGCATATCGAGCGCTAACTGCCCCTGTACGAAATGGTAATGCACAGAAATGTGCTTCGGCTGCTTAGACACAACCGGGTTTCCGCCAAACGAATCCTATCACAGTTAATTTGCATTGGCTGAAGGTTGTAGGCAAGGTGGCCAAGTAATTAACACAACCACAAAGCCTCTTTAGCAGCCTCTGGAGCCGCCATGTATTCTGCATCCATCGCTGATGCGGCTACACACGCGGCTACACTATGCAGAAGCTTGCTTGCTAACAGCTCCACCATGTTGACTGTTGTGTATCTACACAGCCCGCCTGCGTAATCGGCATCACTATGTCTGATTAACTTCTCATCAGCATGCTCGCCACCAAGAACCAAACCATAATCAGCCAAGTCACCACAATCTGCCAAGTAACATCCAGTGCGACTTGCTAGGATTGACCATATGGCACGCTAGGGCTACCATGGCTAGCACAATATCGGGATGTGCACACCCAGACACATAACAGCAAACTTCAAATTACCTGGCTATACGTGAATCGCTCCCTATCCAACCGATCTTCCACAGCAGCTTTGGACAAATATGGTACCAGGGCCCATGGGCACGGACTTCGGCCTCCATGCCGTGAAGGCAACCAATTTCCTCTACCATAACGCCTCTGGGACCGGTCATGACCCAATGCGTTCTATCGCGCTTTTATTGAAAGACCCCACGGCATTAACGCTGCATAACGACCGCCTAACTTCTAGGACAGCCTTCTCACTCCAAGCCACCCGATTCGGCCAACATGGTACAAACGTGCTCAAGCAAAGTCCTGTTTAGATGCTCCACTGCTCCGTTCTGCTCAGGTATATATAGGGCTGACTTCTCGTGCACAATGCCTCTATCCAAAAAAACGTAGCAAGGCTCTTGCTTATATATATGGTCCCACAATCACTACGGTCACGACGAACCTCTAGGCCAGTCTGCCGTTCCCACCGTTGCAAAACATCACAAACGGCGTCAGGCACCTCACCCTTTTATCGCATGCACCTAACCTCACAAGACTTTGTGAGTCATCATAGGAGCTGGCGAAGTAGCGAGCCCCACCCACAGATGTAACCGGCATAGAACCACAGACATCCATGTGGAAGAGGTCGAGTGGATGCTCGGACATGTGGGTTGATGAGCGATGAGAACTATGGCTCAATTTTCCCATGGCACATGGCTCGGAGGACCTCCCCTTTGTGTCCTGCAAGTCCTCCTTCGCGCGCTCCATCCCTGTTGCTGTTCAATTCACACACTCTAGGGAAGAGTAACTCAGGTGCCCAAGGCGCTGGTGCTAGGTTCTAATTTCCGCTCAAGCTTAATTTTTGCCTCCTTCATGGCTAAGATTATAAGTTCTGCTAAAATCCTGCTCAGTCTTCCTCTGGTCTAGCACATAATATATCCCATCCTCCTCGAACACATTAATGGCGGGAATCCCACCTATAGCTATGTGTGGGAGAATGCTAGTCAGGTCCACTTTGACCATCACATCAGGGAAGCCCCTCTTCAACGCCTTGACCGAAAATAAGCGGTATCTCATGCCTGGCACCACAGGTGCAGACACAGATACGTCTGTCGAACCCCCAAATGAAGCAAACGACAACCTACTCGCTCCAATAGAGCTAACCGTCCGCCCATCAGCCACTTGGAACAGCACACCCTCGCTCTCCTGCACCGGCACCAACTCTTGACACATCCTCGGGACTGTAGCAGCTGACCGCTGAAAAGGTCTCTCGAGTTGCTGGCGGTCGCGCTCTGCGCGTATTTATAGTACCGTACTGTGTACCGGCTGCTACAGGGACTGATGGTCAGATGTTCCTCAGCTCCCAATCTGTCGAGTAGTTAATGTCCAGGTCCCAGCTTTAAGTTCCCAAGCGTGTTGACGATTCCACCCAGGCGTCACGGCATGCCCTGTGCCTGCAGTTGCACCTGCACTGGCTGTTGTCATTGTTGATGTTGTTACAGGGTGGTTAAGCTTCACCACTGGCCTCCTTCACGAGGCAATTCCCTGCTCTCCCCTGCTAGAGGGGCACCCTAAGCCATTCACCCCATCCGACTTCAGAGTGTACTCTTTGAGTTTGGCAACTCACAACCAGCATCCAACCAAATCTAGCGGATCAACGGCGCCTCAACTTAGTTCCTGGTCAGCTCGCGAGTTGATTTTATCACGTCCTACACCGTCCACAAGATGGGGGGCCACCTCCCATTTCACCACCTCTCAAACACCCGAGAGGTCGGCAGGCGGATTTGAATCCGGGTCGACCGGGAGCAGAAGTCAGGTCTTAACCTCTGCCAGCCGCCTGCCATTGTTGTGGTCACCGACTTTCGGTCTAGGGAGGTGGTGGAGGAGGCGGCGGGGTGGTGGTGGCAGTGCCGGCGGGTAGCCCTGTTTGAGCTTAGGACACTTCGCGACCAAATGCCCCTGCTCCTTGCACTAGAAGCGCTTGCAGTTGTCCTTGCCCTTCCTGTGTGGCATCTGCACATGATGTTGTAGGCCCCCTTGACGGACGGTTCCTTGGCTTCTGTCTCAATTTTCCACTCCTCGATGAGGTCACACCTCCAGATTCTCCACTTGTCGATGTCGCCAGCGTTCTGTATAGTAGTGTGGAACACAGCATATGGCTCTGGCAGGCCCTTAAGAATGTGGCCTCACTCCATTGTCGTCAAGGACTGACTGATGGCCGGGAATTCCAGCCGAAGAGCCTGGAACCCCGTGATGTAGTCACTGATCGTTTCATTCGGCCTCATTACAAAGGTAGTTAGGCGCCCCATGAGCAGGCTTCTTGCAGCTGGTGTTTGCTGCTCATACTTTGCCGTACGCTTCAGTTGCTGCACATACAAAGGCTTCTCCAGTACGCACATGAAGTCCTTAAAAACGCCCAAAACCTTCTGATCCTGTTTTTCAGCCATTCCATCCCGTGTAGCCTGTGAGGGACTTATGGTGTTTGCAATCCCCTTTCGCTGGAGAGAGCACCACGGGGCGAAAAGATGACCGCACACTAAAGTGCGGGGCTCAAAACCTGACCGCACACTAAACCACGGGGTTCAGCAAAGTGCCGGACCCCCTTGGGTCCTATTACTGCTGTCACCATTCACTGATGTATGAGTGTCGGTCACTTTCCAACATCAACGTTATCATAGCTAATCCGTGGACCTCTACATTCGATTTGCCTCCGCACGCTTCATAACTGCTTTGATCTGAACAAGGTCATTTAGTACTCAGCCGCAGACAGTTACTAAACATTTTCCATCAGATTTACAGTGGTTCTACTGGAGAAAATATATTTCTGTTTTCAGGACAATATAGGAAGCCTATATCCAATCACAACGGGTGCTAATCCCACCTTCCTAATCCGCCTAATCCACACTTAGGGGGTGTTCCATTGTAGCAGCTGACCGCTGAAAAGGTCTCTCGAGTTGCTGGTGGTCGCGCTCTGCGCGTATTTATAGCGCCGTACTGTGTACCGGCTGCTACATCCATTTGGATTAAAAGCCGCGGATTAAGAGCTTAATCCGTCGCATATGGAAACACCGGGCGGATTCGGCGGATAAAGGTTGGCGGGATTAGTAAGAAATCTACGCCCGTATTCGCGCGCTTCGCGGATTAAATATAGATTGAAATGCTATGAAATGTGCGCATTTTTTCTGTACTACAAGCTCAAACTTGGTGGGAAATTTTTGCTACCTGGTGGATATGCTACCAAATTGACAATCTCAGAACCATATCTAAAGCCTGATTGATTTCTTGGTTTTCTAATAAGAGATAACATGCACATCACCGCGGTCGCCGCTTAGATGCGCAGAGTCAATGGTACACCGTTCTGCAAGGCCTTTGGCTGAGCGCAACGCTGGCTTGAACCCGCACGGGGGCCGTAGCAATGCAGCCTACAATGAGCACCAAGAACACCCTTCATTTCACCCTTCATTTGATACTTTGTGGTTCTAAATAGTCTGTAATATCTTCAATAATACTCACTTTTGCGTTTAATGCACCAATAATAGTACCGGTAACTGTCGTACCTCATCCGTATCTTAATTCATCTGCGTATGAAACACACCGACGAATTAGCGGTGGATTGGTGCGGATTAAGAAAAGCTTAATCCGCGACTTTTAAACCAAGTGGAAGCACCCCCTTATCCTGTGATGTTTACAAATGTCATATTAAGCCTTGATCCGCCCGAAGTAATCCTAGTGCCCGCACTGATCCTAGTGTTCTCTTAGACATCTAGTAACGATGTTACAGCGAGAATTTAATCAAACAAACGAGCACCATAAGTCAAGTTGACAATTAGGTCCGCAACAATCTAAAGGTCGTAACAAATGTGATATCATTTTATCTCGTCAGGGTTGATCACAAGCATTTAGGGGTGTTTCCACTTAGGATTAACATCGTGGATCAAGATTTTTCAATCTGCACCAATCCGCCGCTAATCCACGGGATTGGTTCATAGGCCTGGATTAAGAAACGGATTAAGTACTGCAATTGCCATTCCGTGCATATAATGCATAAAAGAGTACCGCTGGACATTTAAGGACTATAGAGTATCAACATGAAGGCCTTGCAGCACCTTTGGACGGTGTAGTGCATAACGCCGAACAAGAAGTGCAAAGCTTCCACAAAACTAGGAACACCTACAGGATTTAATCCTTCAAGCTATCAATCTGGTTTCCAATTAGACATTGTATAACGCGGTAATCCGTGATTGTGTGAAAAATTCCATCGAATTTTGTCTACAGATTAGGAGGAATGTTCGCATTTTACAATGTAGCATTCCAAATTTAATTCGTGAAAGTTCCTATACTGGTGTACAACGCTCGCTAATCCCGCCAACCCTATCCGTGCTAATCATCGGGATGTTTCCATATGCCACGGATTAAGCCCTAATCTGTGACGTTAACCCGGATTCACGTCGGGATTAACTTAGGATCCTAAGTGGAAACAGCCCCTTACACCGGTAAATTGGGCTTTAGGCATGAGGAAATCGGCATTGCAACCAAAGTTGTGGAAAATTGAATATGTTTCAAATGGTAATTCACGTATTGCTCTGTTGCGAAGATGATGAAACATTGTGTGATTCACTCGTATGGCGGGATGAAAATTCCGCGACCGTAAGGGGGTGTATGCACTCCCATGCCGATGGCAGTGCAGCCATGCCGATGGCAGTGCAGATGATGGACCCGGTTACAGTAAGTTGTCAGCCGATCAGGAATAGAGTTGTCACTGCTGTCACTGTTAACTCGGCAGGTTTTACTGGGTGCTGGTGATGGGTGCTTAACTTACAGAAGTTACTGACTTCGTAGTAGCCGGCATGGGTGTCCTGAAGCATCGGATAAGGTAGGGGCTGCCAGGCTAGTGGCCACGGGCGAATCTACACCCCTTTACTTCACACAATAATATGGCATATGTTACCCGGCCTGTGGAAACATGCGCGTAAGTAGTAAGGGAGCATGGATATGTGCATTTTCAAGGCGTCAGCCGGAGGCTTTAGGAGTTTACCAGGATATCTTACTATCCAATGCTATTGCTCATTCTCCTGCTCCGGGACGGCTGGCGAGAATGGAAATGATGGGGAGACAGGGGAGTGCATTTATATTGTAGCTTGGAAGGTTGTAGAGGAGGGTGGCTTATGATAGATGAAAAACCACCACAGCCATGCAAAGTTTTCCAGGCTGCCATATCTTACGAGCATCTTAGCATGCAAAGCATGTGTGCCAGCTCTTGTATTCTGTGCCTTACCCTGTGGCATTCCACCACTCTCTGGCAGGTACACGAGGCCTCGCCTATTCGCTGCATGGTGTTCTCCCACAGCGGCCTGTTCCTGCTGTCTTGCGATGACATGGGCCGTGTTAAGTTCTCTAAGCCAACCCTGGAGGTGCTGCAGGTACAGCTGGAATGGCAGGGTGGGCATGAGTACGTCTTAAATGTTTCCCTGCCAGTCTTATTTTGCTTCTTCATTGCGGGTTGTTTCTCCCACCGCCGTTTGCTCTCTAGGTGTATCACGTTCACAAGGAGTCATGCCGGTCAGTGAGTTTTTCACCGTCCGACTTCAAGTTTACGACGGGTAAGTAAGGACTTGGGCAAGCCTCCAGATGCCTTTTCCAGACATTACTCAGTTCTTTGCCTCTGAGCTAAGTTCCACCCCGGCTACTGGGCGAAAACGTCTCCATCTGCTGTTCCTGTAGAATGTTAGCTTGACAGGATAAGGGGTTTGTCCGCAGCTATATTGCCGCCTGGGCAAGCCCACAATGCTACCGCAGCTACTGACTGGTACATCGCCGACCTTGATTCTCGATCAATCGTCGCCACGGTGCTCCTTGCTTCAGTTTATGTACATCGACCCCTGGTTCGTCCATTGTTCACAGGTTCGGATGACTCCACGGTCCGTGTATTTGACACGTTCCGCGGACAGGAGGTGTCCATGACGGGTGAGTTACCCATATCATCCAGGGATTATTTTGCGGCACAGTGCGCGATGGGACCAGTTCTCGCGTTATTCCCAAGGCATGGAATCGTGGACACCACACATGAGATTCTGTCTACACCGCCCACTACTTTCCTAGGCCATGGTGGAGACGTTCGTTGGGTGGATTGGCACCCAACAAAGGGCGTCATTGCGAGTTGCTCCAAGGACGCCTGCGTTAAGTTGTGGGACCCGCGAGCTGGCACCTGCCTCTCCACTTTACACGGCCACAAGAATGGCGTGTTCCAGGTGCGCGTGGAGCAGATCGAAGGGATTCGGGTTAGGGAGACTGATTAAGATTGTGGCACTGTCGGTGCCGCGTTCAGCTTTCCTGGAGATGGGTGCGCTAGGTGCATATAGGTTATGCTCCCATGGTTTGAAATGCACAATCCCGTTGATTGGGTCGCAGGACCTAAGCAGATTCTAGACACATGAACCCCACTCCCTACTCGTATCCGGAGCTGTTCTACGCGCCTGCAGGTCAAATGGAATCGCAATGGCCATTGGCTCCTGTCCTGCTCTCGTGACCAGCTCGTTAAGCTTTACGATGTACGAATGCTTCGCGAGGTGGCAACCTTCGCCGGTCACGGCCGTGACGTGACCTGCGTCTCATGGCATCCTCACCACGAGGAGCTTTTTGTGACGGGCGCAAGTGAGTATGTTATACAATTCTCGTGTTATGTAGGAGTGCAATGTAGTTGATCATGGAGAGAAAGCTCTTCGAGTCGGTATGTCTCCTGAAAGTTACATTGCGCAACTGCTTAGGCTGAGGCAGCAGCGTAGCAGTGGTTTGCCTTATTGCGGAGGAGGGTGAGTTGCTCTATCCTAGGAGGCCGCCCGCTCCTGTATTGGCAGGTTAGCAGCGGCACACCACGTGCAGCAGCACAGCTGCAACAATGGCGTATTTCGGTTTACATGTAGTTTCCCGCGATGCCGTCGATGGGACAAAATTCCTTCGCTGCAAACAAGGGGATGCTTTAACTCTGTTTTCATGTGTGCTGTCACCCCAAGTGACACTACCGCTGCGCCTTCCGTTGGTCCTGAACACATCCTGGCCCTAACGAATGCGGTCCATTTAACGGTGCAGCCCTGGCTTACCTATAACACCCTGATTGTCTTTGCCTTTGTCTTGTTTGTCTTATTCTTACCAAATCCCCGTCTCTTGGGGTTTCCCCAGTTGATGGCAGCCTGATGATGTGGCTGGCTAGTCGACCTGATGCGCAAGGAATCATCCCTGCCGCACATGACGCGAGCGTGTGGACCACCGCCTGGCATCCGCTGGGGCACGTGCTGGCCTCGGGTAAGACTGATTTGGGTTGGGGCTGCCAAGTGGGAAGTGGACGGCATTCATGGTTCAAGTGGAAAGCATACGGGAGCTTCAAGGCTGGGCGTTTCAATTTCAAGAGCGAATTTTTGTTGGTCTAAGGCAAGCGCATAGCAGGTTTGATGTTGCAACTATTGACACTAGGTGTGCCGCTGAAATTGCTAAAAAAAGGTGAGAACGGGTAAACGGAAGGGATGATGGTACTCCCGAGTGCACATCCTCAACGTGACTAGATTGTCCTGCAAGTGCATTGGTTTACGGTGACCCTTGTGCTCTGTTCCCAACCTGTGCATTTGGGACCTGCTCCGGTGCGAGCGACCTTGCCTTGTTTCCATTTCTCGCCTTCATCCAGCCGGTGCTGATCAAAAGTGCCAGTTTTGGTGTCGCAAGCGGCCCGGGGAGATCTGGCAGGACGTCTATGGACACGACGCCGTGGGCACAGGGGTAGGCACCTCCGCCGCAGTTGTCATAGCGTCAGCGAGTGGAATGCACACGGACGGCGCTGCGATCAAGCAGGGAGCAGGCCTTTCGGGGCCTTTGACTGGCAGCGGTGTTGCTTCTGTGGCTGTCCCGGGTCTGGGAATCGCCAGTGGATCGCTCGGGCTGGGGAGTGTAACCGCCTTTAATCGGCCCAATGTCATCCCCGGCATTGGAACGGTGCTGGACCAACCTTCGACCACCTCACAGGTTAGGACCGGAGGATGGTGGAAATAGACCACAACCAGAAGCCTATTGGGGTAGGTTGTTTAAACAGCTTTTGGCCATGTCTGTCAACGCCTCTCTGTATAAAGGCGATCGGTTTACCCTTCGTGTCTGTATTAACACGTGGAGTTGAAGAGCTACAGGGTTGCAGTAAGCTTGTACCAACCAATGGAATAGGAGCTGTACATAAGATAGCCCAAATAGCTATCTAACGAAGAACGTCGTGACAGCCAAAGACCGCCCTGCTGCTAACCAACCTGATTCCAAAAGAACATGTCGCTTGTCCTTGAGTCACAGCGCCCACAGTTCTAAATTCACGGAGCACACCTAAATAGCCCCACTTTGCAGCCAACAACGCAACCTGGAATGCATGGGAAAGCGATGCATCTCTAGTGGGCCGCAGCAAGGTCGGCCGAGGGCAGCCTGGCAGGGCAAAGCTCCGATGCCCCAATGGAGAGACCGCCCAACAGCTTTCCGAAACCGGGATAAAAAGGCGTGAGGGTGCGCTATTCTGTCTTGCTCAAGCTAGCGATTGTAACCGTACGTGCTGCTTGCAAAAAACGCATAGCACGGCACCCGTCTTTGGAAACCCTAAGGGACTGTTACACATGAAACACCGCGTAAAATTCACCATGGGAACAGGGCCCTGCTGCATATCATTCCTCGAAAGGATTCGCGCAGCTTTAGCAAACGTAAGCACCTCATGCACAAGCCAGGTGCGAGCCGCGTCCCGTTGCTGGGGCCTTTTACACTGGTCTTTCTGTCCGTTTAGCATGTCTCCGCTTTCTGGCAGTGTTTTTTTTTCGTTTTGGGCCTAATACCCTAGAGTAATAAACTGGGTGTTTCTTAGGGTTACTATTCCTATTTGTATAGTCGCTGGGGGGGGNTGCGCCCCCCCCAGACCCCCCCCTCAAAGGCCTTACGGTGTGCTGTAAACAACACCTGACGTCTGGAAACACACATGCGGTACCACCATCGTTCTGTGCACCTAACTGCATTTGCGCCAGTGTCTCTGTGAGCAGGGCGCGGAGCCACTTTGACTGTCCATAAACGTCGTGAGCACGCGAAGGCAAAGTTATATATATGTACACTGTCGGCACCATCATTATGTGCAGAAGGCATTTGCGGCGACGTATGGCCGAAGTAATGAACCAGTACGGCCACTGACCCAACGATTCCATTTCTTCCAGGCTCAGACCCCCATTTATTCCCAAAAAAAGTATACCAAAAAAAAACACTGCTTTCTGGGTTTCGCGCCCGCCTTACCTATTTGCAGGTCCTTGCGACAGCAGCGGCTCCGGGTGGTAATGGTAGCAGCGGTGGTGGCCGGGATGCAGGGGCGGGTGATGGCTTAGGCGGCGCCACATGTACCAAACGTGGTCGGGAGGATGGTCCTCACAGTTCCATCCGCACCGGAGCCCGAGAGGGTGAAGTTCGTGGGGAAAGCTGGGGGAGCACGGAATGGGAACGGGGCTCAGTTAAGGTCGCCAGGACAGATGGGCGGGGGCCCTGCAAGGCAGATGGTGGTGGCGGCATGGGTGCGTCCGTGGGTGTTTCACCTGGTGCCAGGGGTTACGGAGAGTATGTACCTTCGGGCCTACTTGGATTGTCTGGGGCCGACTGGGGACCCGGACAGACGCACATGAGGCGTGAGGCAGTGGTGCTACCGTCGCATTATACGTCGTCGTACGACAGAGGATGCGATCTTGGGAGCCTCCGGCGGGGCCTGGCATGGATGGGTGTAGACCCTTGCGACAAGCACGGACGAGGCGCCATGCAGCAGGGCCCGTTACTTCTACAGGGGGAGAGGGTGGAGCGGAGAGAAGGGGAAGTGTCGCCATCTCAATACCCTCGCCCAGAAGAGTCAGTTCCACCGCCATACAAATCATTCGCATACAGCCGCGGTGGATGGCGGCCGCCGCCTATTGGTGTGCGTGCTGCAGGGCCTCCAGCCATCCAACAGCATGACGGAAAACAGCCTTTGAACGTCGACCGGGGGTGTCGTGATGGAGGAGGTAGGACTCCACCCAATGTTGAGTCTGATGGATATCGCTATGCTCCGGGCCCTAGGCCGGACGGGCCGGGTATCCTTGGCCAGAACCAGGGCCAAGGCCGTGGGCCACCTTTCCATCTCAGTAGTGGTAATCCGTCGCAGATGTACGGTCCAGGGCGAGGGCGGGGTCGCGGCTGGTCGGGGTGGTGACTTCAGCTTGCCAGTGTAGCTGATCTGGTGCATTGGCTGGCCAAGTGCTGGAATGAACATAGATTTTGGATGAATAACAACAGACGGACGGTTTTGTTTTAAGCATGCGTTATGGTGTGTGCAAGTGCGGACCTTGCCATTTTTTCATTACTGCTGTAAGGGGTGCTCCTTTAAAAAGCACGGAGTGCGGTATCCATCGCAGCAGTTCTACGATCCTAGCGAGACTGGCAAGAAGGCAGCTCTGCACAATCGCGGTAACGAATGTACACCAACATTGCCAGTCTTACATCCCCACAGCATTTTTATGGACGGAGGGCTTGGCTCAAGGAGTATTATATAACGGTCCGTTGTTCTATTTGCCTGTCGGCCGCGCGTTTGGGCTTGAGCATGATTTAGTACGGCACGCGGGGTCACAGGAGGTTAGGACACAAGGTCAGGGAGAGCAATTCTTTGGGCTGCCGGCCGGTCGCACAATTCCTGTGCTTCCCTAAATCGACACCCCGAACAGGTCAATTCAGACTGTCGGAATGTCCCTCAGGCCAATTCGTGTCCCTGTCAGGCCAATTCAAGGGCCTGTCCCGGCAACTTGTCCCCGGTGTAGACCCCATTCCAATTTAAACCCGAAAATTCTCAGCCAGGCATCCGGAATCGCGGGACTTAAAGGAATTTTATGAAAGCTCTGCAAGGGGAACACTTACAAGTACGGTTGGCAAAAACACTATATTCGAAAACCCAAATAGCATAGTATAGTAAGAAATAGTACTATTTCTAGTAATTGTATTGTGGTTACAGTATTTCCGCCGCCGACGCGGCGGGTGCCCTCACGAGCCGTGAGGCTCCAGAGCACGCTGTTGACGCTCATCAAAAACCTCAGTAAGGAAAGTAGCGATTTTCCTCGGATTGGTATTAAGAAATACCTTGCGCATATCAGTATCTTCAACGTTAATCAGAAACCTATTACGCAACTCAGTATACGCCTCACACTCCATGAGCACATGATATTCATCCTCAACCTTACCCGACGTACAGACCTGACACGTACGGCACTCTCTCGGCCTATGGTGTCCTTTGTTGACCTCCAAAGGCCAACAACAAAGACGGAATTTGGCAACCATACGCAACTGGTTGACCGGCAAATAAACACGCAAATAGCCTGTGGGATCGGAGCCCTCTCTTGCTGGTGAAGGGGAGCCCATCCAGTTATGATACCTGCAAAGCGAAACCCCTTTACCTTGGAACACACGCGGATCACCCCCTTGGCTGAACTGATCCCAGTCACTTAAAAGGAACGCAGATAACCTCTCCAGAACCTCACCCACTCGAATCAACTGAGACGAGTATACATCTACCTTCTGAGAAACGGAGTCACACGCCGGCCACTCATGGCCCAACCAACGCAAAATGATGAGCACTTTAGACGACCAGCAATCCACTTTGAGATCAGACAGAAGAGCCAGACGGAGATCATCTACTAACACGTCATGATAGACCGACC